ACCTGGCTCAACTTCTCAACTTTAAATGATGGTTATATTATTCTGAGGCAGGATCCATCCATCCGTCCGTCCATCAATCTATCTGTCCGTCCGTCCGTCCGTCCGTCCATCCATCAATCCATCCATCCATCCATCATGAATGGATGAACTTGCTCATCTTAATTTGCATAATCACCAGAGACTAAATGTTTCATTCCATCCTTTCATCAAGTCCGTCTCTGAAAGGTTCGTGTGTCTTTGTGGCGTTTATCTTCAATAGATGATGAGCTGCTACGGCTGCAAAGGTCAGACCAATATCACATCAAACGCCTCGGATCAGGAACGTGACGTCAGACAGCTTATGTTGTGCGAAGGCAGGAGAGAGTAAATGTTAGTAACATTCTGCGAGGTACATTCCCTGCAAAAGCAGCCGGATCTCTCCTTGAATCTTCCGTATGCTACGTGTGCTGTTTAGCTATGCTGGCTGCCTCCCGTCACTGTGCTGGGATGTGCAGGCGCAGAGCAGCCTGCGGCCTGCGGCCTCTGTAGCAGTGACCTTCATCTGGGCAATTTTGTTTGTGAGCCGCCTCTAACCTGAGATGATTCCTGAGGTGGTGCTTGGCGCCGAGTGGGCCACGCTGTGACTCACTGAAGCAAAAATAAAAACGCGTCTGAGTAAGCAAGCAGCCTGAGACGAGACCAATGTTGGACGCTTTCATCAGCAAACGCTAGAATGAAAAAAGATGAACGGGACACTGCAGCGTTCATCTTTAGTTTCTATGTTTCATAGTTTTGGGAAAGGAAACTGTTCTTGCTTTAATTTTAGGTCCTACTTTGTGTAGATTTCGAATCCACTTTGTTGATTTGACAGCAAATAAAAGAAAAACACTTATGCAATGCTGCCCTCTGCTGTCAAAACCTCAACATAGCAGTATACACAATGAATTATCATTTTTAATTGTTTGGTCTCTCAGTGTGCAAAATTACCAGGTACTAAATTATGAGAAACATTATAATTTTACATGTGCATCATTATTTCTATATGATGCACATGCACAAGTTTTTTTTCAAAAATGTATTAAAAGTTGAAAACAAATCATATTTAATAAATTACATCCTTTCACATGCAGCTGAAAATCCTGGAGACGGTCCTCTGACTTGGATATTAAACAGAGTTTATTTGAAAACACACACCTGTCAACATCAGGCCCCCCAGTTGACATTGCAGGTCAGAGGTCAAACACCTTTTTGTGCTGTTGTTTTCATATTTAATCCTTTTCTTCCTCATGTCTCCTTACATTCTGTCCTTTTCACTTCTTGCCTCCTTTGTTCCTTCCTCTTTTCAATCCTCTTTTATCTCCAACCGTCCATTTTCTTTCTCATCTGCCCAAACGTTGCCACCCTCAGCGAGTCGTTCACAGATTCCCTCGTTGACACTTTTCTTTGGTTTCTAGTGTTGAACTCACACGCTGGCATCTCATCGTTCGGAACTTGGTCAAAATGCTGCGTGAGAGAGACGACAATTCACACGCAGCTTCTGACCAAGCCTGGGTCAAAATGTACTTTTAAGATGTCCAGATGACAGCCTTGCTTCCTTGAAGTCTAAATATCAGTTGAGTTTAATAAAGATAACAAGGATTTATTAGTCGTTTCTGATGCTAAGGACCTGTTTTCCTTCAGTGGCCGTCTCCACGGTAACAGATGGTGTTGACGACGTGGGGTTAGTGTTAATATTCAGTGGCTGTGACGGTTGTTAGGCACAGCAGAGGTGGCTGAACCCCGGCAGGACGGCAATCTGCTCACTTTCACCCGTCGTCAGAGTCTTTTATCGGGAAGAGATTCACAACTGAAGCCGATGTTTCTCTCTATCATGACTAAATCTCACCGACTTCTTGTGTATGTTCTGTCCAAGTCGGTTCTCTAAGCCTGTATTTGGCAAATCAACAAACGGAAGTTGAATTCTGGTCCATGGGGACAACCTGCTGGTGCAGGATTGGCGTAAATATATATATATTTTTAAATCTTACTCCTTCACTCATTTTATGGTTAAAGGAATCTAAAAAGGAATCTGCCGCAGAATCATAGCGACACAACTTCTGGTCTCAGTAGAGAATTGGTCGTAAGCCAATCTTTTTATCTCAGCTTTGATTTAAAAATAAAATTAACTGCAAAGTGGAGTTTCTCTCACTCTTTAAGTCTCAAATGAACCTCAGCAGGTGGACAAAATGTTCTGAATCTTTGCATTTATCCCGACATCGTCTTCCTTTGTAGGTCTTTCTCATGAAAGCTGCGAGCTCAAGGACGGATTTCAAACACGTTTTTGTAGATTGAAAAAATGTTCTAAAGGAGAATTTGTCAGCAGGTCGTTGTCTACCGGACAAATGAAAGAAACATTTCATTCTTTTCATTCTTAAGAGATTCTTCCTTTTTTGTTGTTGCTTTTTTTTTCTTCTCCTGACTACTGACTCACAGCGAATTCCATTGAACAAGCACACCCACTCCTCTGACCCTGAGCGAGCGGGATATAACTGAGTTATATATGATAAAAATGTCCCAGAATAACAAGTTTCTTAGCAACAGCCGACTTGATCATAGCAGCAGCCGAGAACAAGGAAGCAGACGAGGAGAACTAATGGCACAGAGAAGATGATAAGCCTTTCTTTATGCTTTATCGTTACCCAGCCATTAACACAGACTGGCCCTCAGCCCCATTTCTGCTCTGAACATGTTAGCTTTGCAGCATGTTCGACGGACTGACGTCTTTTTTGCATAACTTCATTCTCTAATCAAAGCTCCCTTTTTCTGATGTCAATATTTATTTTTAACTTTGGAAGTGCACAATATTCTCCAAAGTATTGACTTGTTTACAAACGTATGCACATAAATACATCTTATTCTTTATCCAGCAGATTTAATATGATGTCTGCCCCCCTTTTTTTTTTTTTTCTTTTGCTGCAACATTTTTATTCCCTTCTATGGTTTTTTTTCACTCCACCAATTGAAGTTGCGTGCGCTTAAGGGACGTTTTGATCATTAGTGGGGTCAGACACTGATGTTGGACAACGAGGCCAGTTTTGCAGGCTGCACTCTTAATTAAGCCATGTACTCAATCGTCCATGTCTTTATGATCTGTGCTGGTTGTAAGTGAAGTATGTGCCTTGGTGCAGTTTGTCTTTCTGTTTATTCTGGTGGGAACAGTAAACAACCACAACATACTGCTATCGCGACCACGTCACACAACTTTTCTCATCAACAAAACGAACTGATAGTTGACTTTGTTGATCCCGAAGGAATCAACTGCTTCATTCCAAGATTTTACAGACTTTTATAGAAGTGAGTGGATCAGCCGAGTTCAGTCGATGCGAACACTTCTAGCTATATACACACGTCTCATGTTATTGTTTACATCCGGAAATGTAAACAAGCAGCTACAGTAGGAAAGTTCAAATCAAAATCCTCCAAACATGATACAACATGTCAGAACCCACTTATATCACAAGAACTGCTCAGTAAAGTGACGTTTTTTCTTTCTTTTTAAAGGGTTTCGTATATGTTCCCTCCCTTATCAAGGCTCCCTTCTGTCACATCACACTAGTCCGGATGAGGGGCTGCAGCAGCACACAGGATTAGACTTTGCCTCACTGTCAGTCCTCGCTTCTTAGAGATATGCTTACACTGAAGAACCACTTTGCATAAACTGCAAGCTGCAGTAAAGCACTTTAGTCCGAAAGAGTTTCCCGTCGAGGTTTCTCTGCCTCACTGACAAAACGTAAAGTCATTTTACAGTTTAAAAATGACATTGAATTCAGGTTTTGTCGCTGAAATGTGTTTGTCGGGGTACGTTTCACACCAACATATATGTTAAACCGCTTTTCCTCAGTTTATCAGTGTTTGCTCTTTTCGCAGAGCTTTAATTTGCATACATCAGGTTTAAAGGAGGAGCTTTATGTGCTACTCAGCTTTTTTGTTCAAACTGTAGCTTTGCATAATTTGGGATTCACTAGTTTTAAAATGTGCGCGCTTGAACAAAGCTCTGTATTTTAGATACGAAATGTTGCAAGAGTTGGTCTCATTTGATAAAAACTAGAATCCAGAAAGAAACGTGAGATTTGAGGTGGTAGAAAAGTCGAAGATTAGCCTCCAACCAATCCTCGTCTGTTTCTCACAAACAAGAGAACAAGAACAATTTATTTTTATTATTGCCAAATCTCTTCTCCGGGCCTCGGTTCTCCTTGCTTTAAATTTTCAGGGAATTGTGCCATACTTCTGACAACTTTTTATTAATTTATTGTTAATGATTTTCTTAAAGGGGCAGGATTGTGTATTTCCCAGGTACACAGTGCCATTGTATAGCACAATCAAGTAACTGTTAATTTCAATTGTTTATTACTCCATAATTTAATGCCTTGAAATTGAGCCTCTGTCTCTTTAATAAATCCTGCTATTTCTGAAACTCTGCCTTCAGGAAGTCCTCACAACATTCCTCCTCTGTTAACTCTTGAAAAATCTTTTCCACCAGCTGTTGACTAATTGCTACTAGCTAATCTGAAGGGGCTCCCAAGGAGGAGCCGTGCCTGGGAGGCGGAGCTAGGTCCACCCAGACGTTTTCCCAAGGAAGATTAAAGGATTTCTCAAACTTGCACAAAAGAATCATAGCAACCCTCTGGGTATTTTTTGGATGGAAAGGTAACATTACACCATGATGTAAAGCTCAAAAATAGTTGATTTTGCACAACACCGCCCCTTTAATTGCGAAACAAAAGTGTACAACAAAGCAAGAAACTTAAAACATCAAAAAATAATCAGTTAAGAAGATAAAATTAGACATAGACCTTAGAGAATAGCAATATTCCTAAGAGTCGTGGTATTTTAAAAACCCTTTAATAACGTAGTATTAAATAGCTGGAGGGGAAATATTACATTTAAAGCCAAGGCAAAAAAAAGTGCTTCCACCTCAGCAACTGAAATGTGAAAATTCTGAAACGTAGTTAAGTGGCGCAACACGAGCAGATGCACCGTACCTTGCTGTCTCTTAGGGGCTGAGAGTCGATCTGATGCGCCACCGATGCAGTTTGGTTCATCTTGGCTCCGCAAAACGCTCCTCGGTCTGACGGCAGGACCAGAAAACAATAAAGCCAAAGTTTCCCCCGACTTCCTTCCCCGCTGGAAGTGTCACCAGATGGAACACATTTCCATCAACTGTCTGTTTTCTCCCGTTTGTTTCTCTCTCCGTCTCCGAATGGTTTCCAGTGCGTTTACATCCGGCTTTCTCCGCTCTTTCTTTTCCTCCTCTCTGCGCGCCTACCCCTTCTATAGCGCCGATGCGCTGCTTCACATTCAGCTGACGGGCAGCTCATAAACTAGGATGTTTGCCAGCGCCTCCCACATTCGAAGACATTTCTTGATCAGAATGCAAATTTGCTCCAGGCGAAGACTTTGCCAGCGTTTGGTTTGAGCTCTCACATCCAACGCGCCTCGTGCAGATATTGACTTTGACAGACCGTCACTGATGAAATTTGTGTTGAATTCAGGCCTTATTATTAAACCATGTACTTTGTTAATAAAGGCAGTATATGTTAATCTTCTACATTTCCAATTTCTCGCTAAAGTTTAATAGTGAGCATCATTTTTACATAATCCAATTGCTTTATCAGTAATATTCTTAATGTCTTGACTGCTTGAGAGGGTTTACATCCCACATCATGTGAGCCAGTTGTTATTACTATTATGCTTCTCAGCCTGTGGCTCATATTTTAATGCGCGCATCCAGAAATCCCACAAAACGGCAGCATGTGAGGCGATCCAGTTCTGCTGCTGTGTTTTCCTTCGAAATGACCATTAAAGGTTCGCCATCATCGAACCCGCTGACGCTTCCAGAAGGTATTTGGTGTGAAACAAATCTTGACACGATTGCATAATTTTTAATTTGCTGGTTGAAGTTAAAAAAAAGAAAAGAAAAAAAAATTATTTAAAAAGCTAATGCACGTAATTATTCTGCGTTTAGGCTTAAAATGTCCCTCAATAAACCATTTATTTGAAGTCCCTCCTTTGATTTTTTTCTTTTTTTTTTCCTCAATAAAACAGTTAATTTCATACTGCGCTGCTTCTTATGAAGTAATGAAACGCTATAATCGCTGTGGCACATGTTTAATTAAAGCAGCCGCGCGGAAGCGAAAGCAATCAGGACAAACGCGCGAAAGCCGAGCAGTTAGCTATTATGGGAACAATGTTTCTGAGCCTGCAGTGTGCATGCAGAACAGGGCTTCGCACAGTTTGAGATTTGAAATAGTTGCTCAACGTTCTGCCTCCTCCTTGTTGTCGTTTGGAGTCGTGTTAAAAATGCTAGATGGCAACAATATGTCCTTGTATGCTGACCCATTTTTGCCCAACTTTTTGCCTCTTTTTATCACTTTTATGGGCAACAAATCCACGCAGTCTCTTCTCTGTTACGACACTGAATCACTGCACAAAGTTTTCATTTGGAAACTCTGTTGTTGCAGAGCTTTACGAATGTAATATCAAAGAGACACCGTTTTTTTTTTTTTATTATTATTATTGTTTTTTTGCATTATGACATACAGCTGAATTTCTTTGATGGGCCTAAAAGGAAGAGTTAGCTTCCTCTGCTAACTGCAAAGACGACTCATCCCGACATTTAGAGCTTGCCGGGCAGCTTCCACCTCTGGAGGTTTATGAGAGCAGAGGGCCATAAAAGAGTTGAGGAGGCTAATAAAAGGGAACATTAAGACATCTAGTGCTCGAACTCCTCTTTCCTAATAGTATCTGTGAGTCCTCTCCCTGGTTTCAGATGTACTGGTTAAATGGTGGAATATACATCAGTGTGTAATAAAGACTGCATCAGGTTGGATAACTGAATCTGTGTGTTGTCAGAAATATACATTATGGGCCTCAAAATTCTATTTGCTTTTTTGTTCAGATGAAAGTTCATTTTAAATGTTCATCCCTTATTTGTTGCTACAATTCAAATGCCACCTTAAGGATAAAATGTTTTTTTTTTTGTTAACCATGTATTACTTTAAAATTTTGCCTGTGTCATTAAAATAGAAATTCAATATAGGTTCCTTTTACACCACTTTTAATAAGCTTCACAACCCCAATATTAAGCCAAAGCCATCTGAAATATTTACAGCAGAATGCTAATTGTGTAATTGTATTAGTAAGAGCAATTAGTGGAAATGTTGACAGAAAAAAGGAAGCACTAGGAAAAAGAAGAGCAAATGTCTCATCATATTTGTTTCAAGCTTCCCAATAATTGCCTGTAGAAACTCTCTTGTTGCCAATTAAAAGTATTTCAAAGTAATTCAAAGTAAAGTTGTGACTCACTGGAAAAAGCTAAAAATGTATCTTCATGAAATTAGTTTCACTGATTGATTTTTTTTATTTTTTATTTTGTCATACTTTCTTGTTCTGTCTATATTTTGACTGAAATTTGTTCTGATGCAATTTTAATATGTGCAGAGAACTGAAGCTTGGCAAAACATTCAGCAAATGGCCCTTTTTTTTTCTCACTTTGACAAAGACTGCTTTGCGTTTTCATTTCGTGAAATTCATTTTGACTTCTGCGTCTCGCTAATTTCAGCCAACACTCTCATCTTTAAACGCACCATGCTGCCATCTGTTGAATTGGCCGGGACGAGATATTTTGCGACAATAGGGGACCGTTGTGTGTGGGAGCTCAGTTAGTCAACGTTTAATCCTGTGCGAATGCAGACAACGGCACTTTTTAAAAAAATACTTTAATAGTGACGTTACATAAAAAATGCCTTTATTGATCACTGTTGGCTCAGGACAGTCAAAACGTAAAAATAAATACATTCAAATTAAGTCCTAAGATATGAAATTGTTTTTAAAAAATAACGGATTGTTGGATCCTGGTGAATATTATACAGTACACTCTACTGGAAGGTGACTAATAAAATTTTTAGCCTGCTGCTCCATATTTCTAGGTTTCTAGTTTGTCATATTCTCCATGAGCGTTGGGATTTTGCAGATGACAGTCTAAGTAATGAGTTTCCAGCCTCGTTTTCTCCAAGACCCCTGTTTTCAGGGACCCAGCCTCGAGGAGGTAGATGCCGTTCCTCCCCTTGACCTTCTGAGACAATCTCGTCTTCACCAATCGCTGCGGGAACAGGGGCTCTACGTCCTCGTACGCTCGAGCCTGTAAACGTCTCATTCAGAAGGGAGTCTTCTGTAGAAGATGGCTGCAGAGGGTGAGTGGAGGCAGCTGGTGGCTCCACTGGACTTCTCGTTTCTTCAATGGTGTTCAGTTTGCTCAACGGAACTAGAGAGCGGGATGAGGAGCGTGGAGACACACCGGATGACCGCAAGCGATCCACCTCAGGAACAGCTAATGGCAAACAAATCAGCCAGTGGGAGAATTAGCATGCTTATGTACCACAGCCATTTAAAGGCATTCAAAAGGAGATCTTGCTCACCATGACTTCGTCTTCTGAGAGGAAAAGCAGAATCCAGATTAGCACCAGGTTGGAGGGAGTAGTACCTCTGAGACCTGGAGATGTTCTGTGCTGCCTGAAGGAGGATAAAGGACAAAAGCTAACTTAGTATTTTGTTTTCTCTACTTTCCTCTTTAGAGAAACAAAAAAAGTTGAAAAGGAGAAGAAACAGACATAAACCTGTTCACGGAAACTCTCAGCACGGAGGCTGCGACGAACGCTCGCATTGCGGCGAATCAGAATTTCTCTGGTTTGGCTCTCATCTGGTAGACTGTATTTGCTGGTGAAGGCTGTGGTCTGGAAAACAGAATTGTTTACATTTTCAAGATAAAGACAGGGAATAAGATTTAAACATTAAGGAAAAAAATGATGCAAAAGTTTAAAATTGTAATGGCTGTTGAGTTATTGATGGGTCATCAACCAAGAGAGGATTCATCCATAAAATTTCCAATTGAATACTGTCGTCCACTCCTGAGATTTTCATTTGTTTGTTCCAATTTTCATGCAATACTTTGTCCCTATGTTCAACAGATACCCTGGTAATTTGCTCTCAGTTTAAATAAATACCCCATCCATGCCCCTATTTTTACTGGATACCCCATTTCTTGTCTCTGTTTAAACTGACACCTGGGTGTCCCATCCCCCTTTTTGCCGAATACACTAGTTAAGTTTTTTTTTTAACCCTGGTCCTCAAGGCACACTGCCCTACATGTTTTAGGAATTTCCCTGCTTGGCTACACATAATTTCTAAGTTACTGCGTTCCTCAGACTTGGTTGTCATTTTTACCAGAGTGAGAGTGTGGAAAGATTTATGTGTGAAATATGATTGTTACCTTTTGTCGAATTCTGTACATGTTCTTGGACAAGATGTCATGCATTTTCCTAATGTCAGTAGCCTTGAACTTCTTCTTTGGCCGAGATGCCTCCTTCTTCTCATCTCTAAGGTCAAGATGAAAGCAATAGACAGTCATGAAAGCTGTGATTTATCATTATTATTATCATCAAGATGGACAAAGAGCATGGCAGCTTCCCTCTATGGAAAAAAGCTTGCAGTGAAATTAGATTTGGTATGAACATTCAGTTGATGGACTCATCAGAATATTGATTAAACAGTTTCAAAGACTTGGGTAAATGTTTTTGTCTACTGTATTATCGAATTAAACATCCCTAAATTTTCCAGTTCTGAACTTGTTACTGGAAAACAGCAACCGGAGTCATTATTCGCCCTAATCGGCTCTTTTCGCTAGGTATAAAGATGCATTCGCTGTCAATTAAGAATGTCCCAGAAAAACTACCCTTTGGTGAATGAGTTGAAAACACAGTGACATACTGTAGGGAAACAAGAGATGGAGCTGCGCTGATGTCTCCAATCTGTGTGTCCAGCAGCTCGATGGCATTTTGAAGCTCCAGCTTCTTGTACATAGACACTATACTGGACTCGGCTTTCCTGTCTCGCAGCAGGATGCGTCTCAAAAAGCGATCGTTGAACCTTTTAAACCTTTCACATAGAGAAAGAGTTCAATTTTACACCTGCGCCTGCTTTTCAGGTACATTTTGGATGGTTCACACTTTCAAAGAATCCCTACTTGTCTTTCCAGTAGTAGTGACTCCACTGTCCACACAAGTCTTCAATGCCACAAACAAGGTGCTCCATTGTCTAGAAAAACATTGAAAGAATAAAGTTTCAGAATTGGTGTCCCATTTCACGAAAACACAACAATAAGAGAAGGAAATCTGCAACTCACCCTGGTATGAATCTCCACGTTGATGGTATCAAGATCTTTGTTGGTCCTTTTGATCTTTATAAACTCGACTATGGGGCGGATGCTGATGCCCTAGATGAGAC